ACGCCTTTAACGCCTTTAATCCCAGCACTCGGGAGGCAGAGGCAGGCAGGCGGATCTCTGTGAGTTCGAGGCCAGCCTGGTCTACAGAGCTAGTTCCAGGACAGGCTCCAAAGCTACTGAGAAACCCTGTCTCAAAAAAAAAAAAAAAAAAAAAAAAGAAAAAGAAAACAACAATATCCAACTTTAAGTAACAAAATGTATAATTTTACTAAATTCCCACAATTTCAGGAATCAACACATACTCAGTTGAGACATCTCTCAGAAGAAAAAAGTTATCTATCGAGTCCTCCAAATATACTTTTTCACACTAATTCGCGGAGGTTAGGAAAGAATATCCCAAGACGAAGTTCTATGAACAAGTTCCATGGAATCCCTCCCTACAAAGACATCACACCCTAAATTATTTGTACCATTAAATTTCTTGTTTAAATTATTTAATACTCAGAATCCCAAAGACTTGCTTTTCTCTTATTTTTGAACACAATGAAAATAAGAACAGATTCAGAACTCTGGTTCACTCCTCTAATCCCAGAACTCAGGAGGCAGAGGCAGTAGGGTAATCACATAGTAAGACCCTGTTGTCCCCCCCCAAAGAATACACATTAAATATACATCACTGCCCCCCCAAAAGAATATACATTAAATATACATGTAAAATGGACTTCAAAGGTATATTTGGAATTCTAGACCAAAGATTGACTTTATGAGAGGCAGATGGGTACATTGGGGCCCATCAAGAATATATCAAGTTCCAACCTAGCCAGCTCTACAGTGAGACCCTATGACCCTCGGAAAAAAAAAAAATTAAAAAAAACAAGCAAATAACAAAACCACAAGATTATTTTATCCTGGACTAAGATAAATGGAGTTATCTGTTAGGCTCGAGAAGACAAAAGTGATGAAAGTAAATTACAAAGTGAGGTATAATTTAGCAAATGACTAGAGATTAAAATGACTAACAAACTGCTTGCAAATGGAACTAATCACCCCAGATAAAACAAAAGCCAACAATATGAGTTCATTTACAAAGGTGAATGAAAATCAAAATGCAGAAAACAAACACAGAAAAGGCGAGCAACTAAACCACCACTATGCCTAAGTGTCAAGTCAAAAACTCAAAATCTGGAATACTTCCAGGCAAAGGATCACATCATAAACTTGACGTCTAAGACCATCACACAACTCTTAGCATGTGATTCGCATCCAAATAAACAACAGAATTTAGTGAGAATTATTTCAACTCTAAAGGAACTTATTGCCTCAGTATAAGTACATAAAATTATTTATAGGTGTTTTCTTGAGCGTGTAAAATTAATTTCTTACTGGATTTTGCAATGAATGCATAATTGGGATCAGTTGTTACAAAAAACAACTTGAGAGTCTATCAGATGAAGTAGCATATCCTTTTGTGTCAATTACCAAAAAGTATACTAAAAGTACAATTACTCTTGCCTTCCAAAAGTTAATATGTAAAATGAGCACTAAAGAGTGAGAGTGATTAATAGTACTACCCAAGGATGCATGGAATATTACAGAAAATGTATCCATAAAACTGATAATCACCATTTTGGTACCCAAGATTTTCTAACACTTGCTAACTTGCCACTTTAAAATGTAGTTTATCTGCATAAAACTATAGCTATACTACATGCAACTATCTTCCTCTCATGCAATTACTCCATCCTAAAGCAATCTTCTATTAATAATTCCTCGACCCAGTAATTATGCAGAGGCCAATATTTCTCAATACATAATCACAATGAGTGTAGCTGATTCTACCCTAAAAGGCAAAAGGCAAACAAACAAAAAGTAAGAGTAAACTAGAAGATGCAAAATATTTTCTGAAAGTAATTAAAGGCATTAAGAACTAGTCAAAAGTAAAATAAAAAGCCCATGGTATACTACTGTGGACCGTCTCCAGTTTTCAACTAATACCATTTTAAATAATATCTATTAAAGTAATAAGGCCTTATTATGAAAGAAAAATATATGGCTTTTAATGACCTTAGTGAAATTATATTATCCCACCAAAGTGGTCTTTAGAAGCAAATGGCTACATTTATAAACTGTGAGCAAAGTCAGTCTACAAATGTACTTATTATTTCCAGTTCTCACCAGTCTGAGCAGGTAACAAGAAGGTATCAGAAGAAATATGGCTAACTTAATCATCCTTACCTAAATAACTCATCTGAAGTCAGCCTCACTATATGAGGCCCTATCTCAAAAGGTAAAATAAAAATTTCTAAAAAGGACTATTTTTAAAGCTGAGTAGTTCAATTAAACTTTAACAGGACGCTAGGGGAAAAACAGGCTAGAAAATTTTAAATGGTTACAGATGGGCAGTGGTGGCACACATCTTTAATCCCAGCACTCCGGAGACAGAGGCAGACACATCTCTGAGTTTGAGGACAGCCTGGTCTACAAGAGCTAGTTCAAGGACAGGCTGGCTGCAAAACTAAAGAGAAACCCTGTGTGTGTGGGGGGTGGGGGGATATTTTAAATAGTTACAACAAAAACAAATTTCCTGAATCACAAAAAAGCCACCTTGAGAAGCCTCCTCTTTAAATGTATAAACCTCCTCTTTAAATGCCTAACTTAAAAAAAACTTGAACACTTTAGGAAATAAGTTGAAGCACCAAAGACTTCAAACTAAACTGAAATCCTTAAGAACTCAAAGTTCCTTTCCTGGAAAACTGTTCATGGACTCTGTTGTCGTTAGTGAACATTTGGAAGATTGTATTTGCAAATGGACTCTATCATCAAACACTAGAGTCTATGAGCATGCCAATACCATTTTCCTACAATGACTGCTGAATTTAACAAAATGGATCTAAACTTGGTAACATCAGCACACAGTAACTTCCTTCCTTAAGCTGGACATGCTAAATGCACCACTGTTCCTTTAATCCTAAAAGTAAATAGACATGACAGTTTGGCCCAGAAAGCTACTTACCACCTTCCCTTTCTCTAACTCTTTGAGTATGCACATTTTTGGCCTTATTGTGACCTGTGCTGTCACTGTATTTGTTTTCAGGACTATCAGATCTCCGCAACATTTTATTTGGTGGTGAAGGATCTGCGGCGTCTCGCATCTTTTCATGTCTGTGATCACCACTACTGGGGTGACTCTTTGACGAATACTTAAGTGCCTGTAAAACATCACCCCCCCCAATGAAAGAGAAAGTGTTGAAACTTTAAACTCAATTACCTATTTAAATTACAAATTGCGATGTGTTAACTTCACTTATATCAAAACTCACTTATTTCCATTTTTAATACTTCCCTCATTCAGTGAAAATCTACATGTTCAAGAGTTACTATGCAACTCGTGATAACAAATCTAACAAGAATACACAAAGGGGTGCCCTATTGTGTAAACTTTAAAAAACAAGTATCTTGGCACACTTCGAAACTAAAATCATTTTTGAAAGCTTAAACTACAATTCGTTTATTCTCTGCAGCTAATGCATTCAGGCACATCAATAAAAATGCAAGTTTTAAGATTATAATTTTAAAAAAGACAAGATTTTTTTCGTTTCTTTGAGCACTAGCACTAATCTTAATTTACAAGCTCTTTCAGCGATAAAATACTCTTTAAACTCTAAGAATATTTGACAAAACAAACTGATACCTGAGCAATTCTTCTAAAGAAGGGCAATTCTAAATGCCTTTGAAACAATGGTTTTACTCCACCAGTGTCTTAAAATGAACACAATGTATCAGTTCTTCACCAGGAGTAGTTCATGAGGGAAGGGTCAATAATCTTTGACACATGCAAATATTCTTGACATCTGGCAAGCTCCTAGACAACACAAGCATCAATCAGGCTACAAACCTGCTTGCTCTCTGGCCAGCCTAGCGGCTTCCACATGTAACCCAGCACTCACAAGATTAAAACAGGAGTAAAACTGGAAGCCAGTCTGGCCTACAGAACCTTGAGACAGACTTGTTCCTGTTCTTTCATCTTTTAAACGTGATCAGAGGCATTAAGTATTTACTTCTGTTGTCATCAGACAGCTACTGTTTTGAAGGACACTTCAGCAAACTTTCCATGCAAACACTTTTGTAAGTACAGACACCCAGAGTCATTTCTATTACTATGAAGCGCCCACGTAAAAAATTTAAACTAACTCAAAAGCAAAACCTTTCCCTTGAAAGGGGCTAACTTGAACTAGAAATTAAAATGGCAAGAGGACAGTTTACAACAGTAACTCACCTAAGTACTTCTCCTTTTCAACTACTTTTAAAACCTTCCCATTTATCTTTTGGCTCCCCAAAACAAGTAAGTAAATGTGTCTACTAGGTCTTCCTGGCTGTACTTTTTCTTTAAGAAAAAAGAAAAACCCTGAACTTCCTCTAGCCATCTTTCAAGCTAAGTCCTTAGACGAGTTTGGAGAGTACTAATGGAACCCAATACCAAATTTTAAGCGGGTAAGTCGTGCTACTTTCGGATCTGTTGCACCGAAAGGCCTGTAGCGACTTCTGAAGCCTGCGCTCGAGTAGCAGTCCCTCCCTTCCCCCTCCGGCCCCTTCCAATCCCTCCACCCCGGGATCGGCTGGTACCTGGAAAGGCTGAGAGTCCCCCCTCCGGTCGTGACAGCTGAAAAACAGTAAGAAGGGGACCGTGGCGTGAGACATCGCGGGAAACGAAGAAAGCGGGTCTCCCCGGCCGCCCCTGCCCGCGGGCCGCCGACCAAACGTACCGGAGGGGATTCGCGCCGCGGACAATCCCAGGGCTCAGAGGCCCAGGCCGGTATCCGGTCCGCAGCCCGCTCGCCGCGCCCGCCAGGCCCCCCAGGGTGCCCGGCTGTCCTCCCGACCCGGCTCGTCGCCTCCTCCGCCCGATCCCGATCGGGGTTAACAACAAAAATGGCGGCGCGGCCAGCTCCCGATAAGGACGCCCGCCCGCCCGCCCGCCCTCCGCCGCGGCCCGGCCCGAAACGAAAAGACGATTTACCCATCACTGAGTCTCTGCTGTTTCCTCGCATACATTACCATCAATGCCCGGCTGTGTGTGTGTGTGTCGGGGAGGGGGAGAGCGGCCGCGAGGCGGGCGGGCGGGCGGGCGCGCGCGCGGGAGGCGGGCGGGCAGCGGGCAGCCCCGGCACCAGGACTCGGCGCGCCCTCGGCGGCTCGCCGCACCTCCCCGTTACTGGCGCCCGCGCTCCCGGGCCATCTCCCTCCGTCACCACCGCTTACGGTCGGCCGGGGCAGCGGCACCAACTACACCGCGGCAGCGCGAGCCGGGGGGAGGGGGCGAGAGGCCGTGTTCTGGTCCCGCGCAGACAGCGAGCACCTTCAGCACCTTCCCCTCCTCCGGCTCCGCCACCGCCTGCCCTCCTCCCCCCGCCGCCGCCGCCGCCCCCCCCCCCCCCTGCCCGCCGTCCGCCCCCCACCACTAGCCCCCCCCCCCCCCGCCGCCGCCGCCGGGTCCTTAAAGCTCGCCGCCTCCTGCCGCTGCCGCTGCTACCGCCGCCGCCGCTCCACCAACTACATCCGGGCAACTCGGCCGTGGCCGCCTTCGGAAAAGCTCGGCAGTTTCCGCCACACCCCCCTCCTACCCACCCCACGCGGCTTGAGGACGCCGCCTTCGGCAAACCTCGGCTAGCTCCCGCCCTCCTCTTCCTCTGAGGCCTGGGCTCGTCCGGCGACCCGGCAAGCCCTTTCCGGTTGCTGCTTTCCTCACTCTCGAATCTGGCCACTCCCGTTCCACCTTAGGGGTAGTCGTGCTCGGGGGCCTGCGAGAGACGGGCCCCGGGGCCTCCGGGCTGCGCTGGGTGGGAGCCGCCTTCGGGAGGAGAACCGTGGGGCGCGAGGGACGCCATAGCGAACTAAATGCGGGGCCGCGGCAGCTGCGCGTGCGCCCAGAGGCGCAACGGCGGCGGGGGCGGGGTGCCCTCCGCGAGTCGGCCGCGGCCCCCGCCCCTCGGGCTCCGCGTTGGGGTCGGAAAGCCCCTAATTGGGCGGCCCGGACGGTCGCCGCGGAGGCTCGGTGGGCCGCGGCGGAAGTCGCCCTCAACCGGCCACTGGAACCCGGAAGCGTGGCCGGGTGCAGTCACCTGCCCGGCTAGGGCGCCGTCTTTGGCGCTGGAGATCTAAGTCCCCGGCCTTCCCACCGCGACGTTCTTCCTCTCCCTGGGAGAAAATCCTTTGGAGAATGCCGCGGTAAAGAAAGCGATGCGGTGTGCTGAGTGAGGTTGCTATAAATTATTTGGGATACACGGGGAGGAGAAACATCAACAACAGCCTCTTCTTGGCGATAGTCTACTGGTTTGTTATTGTACTGAAGATGGGTTTAACAGAAAGAATTGCAGTAAACAGAGGAGAGTAATATGCACATCAGAAAAAACAATACCCCTTCAAAGAAAAAATAATAATAAAGCACCAAGAAGATAATTTGGTATCCAAAAAGTTTTGTCTCAAGTCTAATTAGTGTAATGTGGGAAGAGACCTTGCAATTATAACTGAAAAATTTTTAAATAATGATATTGTGGGCTTGTCAGATCCACATATCAAATGTTAAGATTATTATAAGAAATAGTTTTTAAAAAGTGCTTACTGAAGCTATCAGTAACGAAGAGGACAAAGGTATTACATATCTTGCACAGAAATCTTGAAGACTGGCGTCAATAGATAGGTTTTCTCTGTGTAGCCTTGGCCATCCTGGAAGTCACTCTGTAGACCAGGCTGGTCTCAAACTCTTAGATCCACCTACCTCTGCCTCCTGACAGCTGGAATTAAAGGCATGCACCACCACCTACCTGCTAATATCACCATTCCTTTCCTTTTGACGAAGTAACACAGGAATGAACTATGCAAGAAATGTTCCAGATGTACCACTGATACTCATTATTCCACATTTCCAAATTTAGTTATGCAATAAAATTCATTTGTCGCTCCCACGTCTGTATCCAACTACAAAGATCTTGGAACGTTAACATACCTGGCGACTGTTCTCTGCAAGGATTGAACGAAGCTACCCTGCCTCTCATTTCACACTATATATGTAATGCTATGATTTTCACAATTCTTGTGCTTTTGTTATTTAAGTGTCCCCAGGGCTAGTTCAAATGCTGTCTGGTAATCCTAAACACAATAAGAATCTGGTAAATCTTAGAGAAAAAAACACCAGGCCTAGATTAGTTTCATTCACATTGCCACTAGTGCTTTTGGCCATGAGTGTCCTGTAAATGTTTACAATTATTTTCAAGAATATATCTTCAAGCAAATTACTTTCAAGAATATGTCTTCAAACAAAGACATAAAATGATATTGGCCAATTAGTTGGTGAAAATAGAACCAGGAGTTTACGAGGACTTAACCTTGTTACTAGAGGAGTAGTCAGTGTTCATGATTTCTTTATTAATAAGGACTACAGATAACAAAAGTCGCATGTGTTTCCTAGCACGGAAATCAAGTATTAGGTTTATTTTTAAAAATCTACTGCCTATGGCTAGAGATAAATGAGGCTCAGTGGTTAAGAGTACTAGCTCTTCTTCCTGAGGGCCTGAGTTCAGTTCCTAGCGTCTGTAAAAATAATTTGTTGTTTACCTTAGATAATCCTTAGACAAATCCTAAAATACTCTCAGTCCTTTTTTTTTTTTTTTTTAAGCTGCCTAGGATACAATTCTGGCTCATTCACTATAGTATAAACCTGTGACAGAACAGGTCAACTTGGCTGGAAAAACACAAAACAAAACAAAAAAAAAAAACAGCCAATCAGGCTGGAGAGATGGCTTGGTAGGTAAGATCACTGATTGTTCTTCCAGAGCAGAGGCCCTGGGTTCAATTCCTAACACCCACATGGCAGCTCACAACTATCTGTAACTATCCTTCCAGGGAATCTAACACCCTCATGCAGATATGATTTTGGACAAAATAATGATGCGCATAAATCAAATGAAATCTTAAAAAAAAAAAAACAGTGGGCCATGCTAAGGATGAAGTTATTTTCCTGATTGCCAATGTGCACACAGGCAAATCCCTAGGGCTGTTAATCCATATATCCTTCCTCCTTAATCAGCTATGTAACATCTTTCTTCTAAACAGAGCAATGCTACCTCAAAAGCAGTTATCTTGCTTCTTACCCTAGCAACAGAAATCAGCAGTAACAATTCCTGCCTACTCCTAAACTACCAACCTTTTCACATCTGAATACGACACAATGCTTTGGTAACTATAAAATATCCTATGCACAAACAAACTTGCCACAAACACATAATTGTCTGATTTATTTTACCCCCTCAGTTGAATCACTTGCGTCAATTTAAAATGTGCTATACTAACTACCATCTTTGGAGGGTTGGTGGTTGGTTTACATCTAAAGCAGTGGTTCTCAACTTTCCTAATGCTGCTCCTCATTGTAGGGTGAACCCCAACCATAAAATTATTTTCGTTGCTACTTCATAATTGTAATTTTGCCACTGTTATGAATCCTAATATAAATATCGGAGTTTTCTGATGAACTTAGACCACTCCTGTTAATAGGTGGGGCCGAGATTCACAGGTTGAGAAGCACTGCTCTGAAGACTCTTATTAACTTTTGCTCTTTCTTTTTTTTTTTTTTTTCAGGAACTGGTATTTATTATCAAAGTCATATTTGATGTCAACAAGATGCCACAACTACAAAAAAAATTGCGCACATTGCAATCTCAATGCAAACAGTCAAATGGAACCCCAATCATTAAAATATTAATTCAGATCACCCCAAAAAGCAACTGAATTTTTTAAACATCTTTATACATCCAGCCAACAAATTAAAATGGTTAACAAGAAAAAATACAAATTCAGAGGTCTGGTATTGATGTTTAAAAAAGGCAACTGCTTAAGCATTTCTATCGATTCGAACATCAATCTCTCGGCCACTCAGCTTCATGCCATTCATCATCCGGCAGGCTCTCTCAGCCACCTCTGGAGATTCAAACTTAACCACACCGCACCCCTTGGACTTTCCGTTCTCCATCTTGATGTCGGCGTACAGCACGTGGCCACATTCGTTGAATTTGTCTTTTAGCATCTTCCATGTAAAATCAAATGGGAGATTTCTCACAAATATCTGGCAAGCCTTCCTGGCTACTCCAGGTGCATGGCCTCCAGCTCCGCCAAAGGCCATGGGTGGCGCTGGAGGTGCTAGCTTTGACCGAGCCATTGAGATGGAGTGGGGCAACTTTGGAGGAAGCTTTGCTCTTTCTTTTTTATCTGAATTCCTTTATTGGACTCTTACACATTTGTTTTCTATTTCTCTCTTAGACCCATATAGACCATTCCCTCACCCCTGGGCTCTGCTCCAGATTGTCAGTATTCTCCATTCTCTCTCTGTCTCTCCGTCTCTCTCTGTCTCTCTCTCCTCTCTCTCAAAAAAAAACTCTCTCTCTATCTCTCTCTCTCTCTATCTGTCTCTATCTCTCTCTATCTATCTCTATCTCTCTCTCTCTCTCTATATATATATCTCTCTGTGTGTGTGTGTGTGTGTGTGTGTGTGTGTGTGTGTGTGTATCCCTTCGTTTGAGATAGGGTTTCTCTGTATAACTGCTCTGGCTATCCTGGAACTTGCCTTGTAGAGCAGGCTGGCCTCTAACTCATAGAGATTGTCTGCTTGCGTAACCACTGCCCAGCAAAGCTCCTGCCTTCTGAGATCTCCTCTCTTGCTGCTCTTTCTGCTTGAACAGCTGTTCCTTGCTTTATTCATTCTTCCTCATTTTCTTACCCCTGAAACCTGGAGTGCCACAGGATTCAAATTCTACTACCGGTACTTTTCTGTTCACAATCTAGGTGAACCACTCAGAAATAGCTAGATACTAACATTTAAATCTCCAGTCCACACTAATCCTTAAACACTAGACTCAGACTTACTCTGTGATGTTACCCAGATGTCTACATCACACCACAAGTTAATATATCCAAAACCAAACCTCTCATACACACTCCCCACAAAGAATCCTAATCTCCCATAGAATGATAGGTCCATCTTCTAGTTAAGGCTAAAACTTTGGAGTCATCTTTGATTCTTTCATATTTCAGCTCCATTAGCAAATTCTGCCACTAATAAAATCCAAATAAAATCAGTATAGGATTTCTATTTGTAATCTTCATCACCTTAGCCTTGGACTAAGAGAATGTCCTCCTACCTCCTTATATCTTTTGCATGTCCACAGGATCTACTTCCTTCCACACAGTAGTCATAGTGGTCCCTGTAAAGGTTAATATCATCCTGGAATCCTAGCACTTAGGCTATGGCAGGAGGATATCAAATATATGACTAGCCTAGGTAATATGGCAAATTCTTGGACCAACATAAGCTTCATAGTGAGATTTTGTCTCAAAAAAATGAAGACTTTTGTACCATTCCTAACTGAAAACTCACCACTGTGTGCCTATCTCAAAAACTAAAATTAGCTGGTGCGAGTGAGAAGGAAGCATGAAACACACAACAAAACTGCTTAAGAGTTTATTAGAGACGTGTAAAGGCCTGGTGAAGTTGGTGTGCAGAGAGAGGACTGCCAGGACAGGCACCAAAGCTATAGAGAAACCATGTCTTGAAAAAACAAAACAAAATAAACAAACAAAAAAAGCCAGCTTTTAAAGACTGCTTGGCACGTCGGGCCCACAGGGGGATGATGTAACTACATTACACGCAGATTAGAGAGCTCACACATGCACACAAAGGTCTTATGTAGCTGCATCATACTTAGGTGATGCAACCACGCCGCACAGAGGTCACACAGGGCCTTTTAAGGACCCCGGGACAGCTAGGTACTTTTGCTTGAGGGCTTGTCCGCACATGCGTGGCCCTGGAACCTGGAAGTGCCAGTGATGGGGGAGTGATTTCTTAATAATAAAGAAACTGCCTCGGCCCTCATAGGACAGAAAATTAGGTAGGCGGAGTAGACAGAAGAGAATGCTGGGAAAAAGAAGCTGAGTGAAAGAGTCACCATGATGCTCCCACTCCAGACAGACGCAGGTTAAGATCCTCTCTGGTAAGCCAGCTCATGGGCTACACAGAATATTAGAAATGGGTTAGAACAATATGTAAGAGCTAGCCAATAAGAAACTGGACCTAGCCGGGCCAGGC